TCGAGTTCGATATCGCTACTGATTTTTTCAAGTCAGTGTCGAAATGTGAGATTGTGTTCAGGTGATATCGGTCCTCACCTCGTGGCGGACTATTTGGAATTAGAAGCGCCTACGCAACGATTGCGAACACTTGTAATGGTAGGTCCAGCTGTTAATTCAGATGATCGTATTGCTACATAGTCCCGAATTTTGAATCCTCAGAAAAGCTTCTGCATAGCTCCACCTGTGTTTGTTTATTATTTGTTTATTTATTTCCTTCTTCATCAAGTATAGGTGGATGTTAGCGATGGAGCCGTAAAATCTTTCAGCACTTGTTTTTTTCTGACGTCTGCTTCTACGAAGCTCTGAATTTGTTAGATTAATGTATCTCATATTTCAGGTAGTCGTTCTTCTGCTTGTCATTTTCCCACTATGCCTCATCAAGGATCTCGAAAAATTTTCTGTTATCAGTTCATTTGCTGTATTATTTTATGCGATTTTTGTTATTCGAATGGTAGGTTGAAATTTTCTGACGGTTCCTTCTGCGAAATTTTTTTTGACATGTATAGTTTGAAAATCTGCTCCAGGTACTGGAAGCACTACCAGCACTTTGGGATGGAGCGTGGAGCATGCATGTAACTTGGTGGCGGCCGAGTGGGTTTCTCACCTGGTACGTAGACCTTTGGTCTGACTTCATTTAGAGCTTATTTTCCTGAAAGCCACAGTTTTTCACCATGCTCTGATTTTCAGCCTTCCCATCGTGTGCATGGCATTGTCGTGTCAAACACAGCTTTTCTGTGTCATTGATTGTATCCGTGATGCTTCTGTTTCGCGTGTTGACGCTGTCGTCTCGGGAGCGGTTAACTTTTGTTCAGCGATGTGAGTCATTTTTCTGTCAACATCGATCACACTTAGTTTCATTCATAATGTTTCACTCGTCTAACTGTGCATAGATTTTTTGAGGCATTAAAGTAGACCGCACAGGTAGACTATTTAGCCAGAACATTGTGATAATGGGACACGCTCACAAACACGCCGTGGGGCTGAACACTTGCTGTGCTCTTTGCAACGCAGCACGTCACAATTCTTTACTATCCTTCACCAATTTTGGTGCAGGATTTGTTGTTGCTGTCAATTCTATTTATGCCAAAAATTTTTACTACTTTCTTTTGTGCTCCTCCACGGTACGTGCGGCCACCACCATGAAGAAGCAGAAGCCGCGATTCTCATGGCGTTTTTAGGTACGCGGGATCATTTTAGTCATTTCCTACTTCCAGCATGTCTCTCACATTTTTTTTACTAATTTTCAATTTAGCTTCATGACTTCTCATTCTTGCATTTCATAGGTACGCTGGTGTGGGAACATTCGGCTATGTGGCCTTCTTTTCCCGATCTCTTCACGGTGACGTACTCGTTGAACTCGAATCGTCGTTTCTCACTCAGCTTCTGAAGCTGGCGTTCATGTTGTCGATAGCGATTTCGATACCACTGATGTTGTTTCCGGCACGAATTGCGCGCTTTTTAACTTGGTGTTACGGCCGGTAAGTATCACAGATCACTTTTTAATTTGTATCCTTTGTTTCTCGAGAGCTGAATGGATTTCCTTTCGTAAATGAGTGGAATTCATTTAAGCCTTTGACATTTGAAGGAGTTGAAGATGTTCCTTACATGTTCTTTGGTTCACGGAAGGTGAGCGGTGATAAACGATCTTACGATTGAAATAATTAGAACAATTCTCATTTCATTTTATTCCTTTCGTAAATAGATTTGCTTATTACATCTTGCTACTGCTTGTAGATTTCATGTTGCTTTATTCCTTTGCAAAGCTTTATCGTGACGGGTTGTGTGTTCAGACAAACTGCGAGCTACCAGTGTCACATGCGATGCGCTACTCGACATTTCACGTGCTCACTTTTGTGATTTTACTGTTCAATTTGTCTGTCGCACTTTTGATTCCTAACGGTGAGCTCTTATCAGCTTCGCTGTTTGCTTTTGATATAATCGCTCGTTGAGATATGTTTACTTTTCATCATCAGTAGCACTTTGAATATCTCTTTTGAAACGATTGTTACGAGAGGCGTGCGCTTACGACGCACTGAGATTGCTTTGTTGAATAATAGTGGTCGACCTAAAGGAGGAATTCACGATAAGAACGAAGGTCAAAGAAGGGGAAAATTGCATAGTTGGGAGACAGGCGGACCTCCTGAGGGTGCTGACCGACGCGCAATTGGCAGCGAAAGATTTGACCTCGGCGATCTAGCATGGCTCACTCTTGGCGCGGTTGGCGGGGTACGCCCACCGACTATCTAATCACTCGCCGCAGGTCTATACGTGGCGAGTGATTAGATAGCAGAGAGCGTAGTGTTGAAGAGGGCACAGCGATGAGAGTCGCATCAATGCGCAAATCAACGGGCAAGGAAGGGGTCCCATTTCTCGGGTTTCGGGCCGTTTCAATGGTTTCTTCTTCATCCCTGCTCCACTGACCACCTCTACCCTTATTTCCAATAGCTAACTTTTCATTGTAAAGCCTGTAAAGCTCTGCCTTTAAAGCAGTGCTCGCAATTACCCTATTCCCACACTTAGATTAGCCATCCGTCAGAGAACCGAGATTGGACTGAGATTCATGAACACTTTGGTGATCATGCAGCCCACATGTGGGCTGCAGCCTGCTGATGACATGGGCCATATTTCAGCAAAAGAGCTGAGCCTCTCATTTTTCTCACTCTCTTTCGAAAAGTCTTCATCTTAACCATACAATGAACTTTTCTTTCAGTTGGCTTAATAACTTCTCAGAAACCTTTTAAGTTCTACGCGGCACCATGCCCAAAACCAGTCTCCATTGTGTTAAAGTTCTATTTCAGTGGAATTTGTGCTTGGATTAACTGGATCACTGATTGGCTCGTTGGTGAGCATAATCATACCGTCTATTCTTTACTTAGCTGTGATGAAGAACAGGGACCATTACAGCGTGTCCTATGCCAAGGTACAATCATTATATTTCGTTTGATATTTTGTTCTTTGAGTGATTCCCGCTTCCGTTTAGATATGTTTGGTGGCTGGTTTCTTCATTTTGTTAGCAAGCACGTGGGCAACCCTACAAGTGGAACAAACATCGAATGTTGCTGAAAAGGTGAGTATGCTTCATAAATCTGCTCTGTAGTTTCGGAATAAAGCTCTTTTTCGCCACCTACCGCTTTGAAAAGACCGAAGTATCT